TTTATTTCACAAATTTGATGCAAGAACCAACGGACGCCACCGACGGTCCTTCGTCTGACACACGGACAGTAGGTGGGCCGGTGGATTGGCTAATCAAGTACTTCAAAATTTCATGTTTTGGTACTTTTTCAACGGTTCACCAGAATGGCCCATCATTCAATGCATGAGTCGTAAATAGGTTCCGTAGGTGAGTCTTAAACTTAGAGAAATTTCAGGGTCGAAACTAGAGAGCCACGGTCCGTCGTTGGGAGTATGGCCCGTGGGCGGGTCCCCTCATTTTAGGTCAAAAGACACTAGTCTTTAAACTCAGAGACGACCAACCAGTACGATTCGTGAGTTGATCGACGGACTGTAAGTCAAGGTTGTCGGTTAGCTCGGCAATTATACTCTTAGGGAATTTTTGGTCTTTTCCTAATTACTTTATCCTAATACTACGTCGTTTTACCCTTCACCTAAAGCCCTATATAAGTGTTTTAACACCCAAATTTCCGCAATTCAAATTATTCTCTCAAATTCCTAAAAGATGAACAAGTCTTCCTCTCCAAAATATTTCTCCCTCCAGAAAGCTTGAAGAACAAGGAGTGAAACTAGGGTTTCAAGTCAAGTCTCCAATTCCGCCATTGAAGGTAAGCTTTTGGCATTGATATATGATAGTCTTCATTCATGGAGCCCTTTTCTCCATGAAGTCCCCAAATTCTCCAATTTGAAAAGCTAGAATTCCTCAATTGAGTTAGATTTTCTTCCATGTCATGGTTCTCTTAAATATTTATTTACTTAACTATTTTATGATCTATCAAGCATGAATTGAGATAATTACATGATTTTATGATGAATTTTCATGAACCCATTCCTAACTCATGTTTTCTAGATTATGATGATTGAAAGTGGGTTTTGAATTATGAAAGATGAATTATGGAATTATGCATGTTGTCATGAAATTGATGTAAATGCTTTACGAGTGAAGTATCAATGTTGTTGTTGTGTTGTCAAATGTTTTTCTCACATAAAGGATTCTAAGGTTGAAAGGTCTTATCACCTAAAATGAATCAAAGTTAAGGAGCTATTCTAATGAAAACTAGCTTGGATTGGTAGTCTTAATAGTACCTTTCTTTAGATGACTTATGACTTAGCTTGGATTGGCAATATGACGTGCCCTTCCATGGATGATAAAGACAAGTTAAGAAAATGACTATTCCATGGGATTTACTCTTAGCACCGAGAGGACATTGAGATGGAAGCCCTCCCGTTATTAGAGGTTAGGTTTCTAGTAGTAATCTCGTTATCCCATACCTATGTGCCGCCATAGGATGATTGTCTTAGATAGACATTAGCTAGTGGATCCACGTAAGCTAGAAATTCATGGTCTTACCTTGGCAAGTAGGACACCTCTTTTCAATGTGGGGTAGACACCATATTCCGTGTTTATAGCTCACATGGTCTTATATGTCTGTTAAAGGTAAATCTCCCACAATAATGAACTAAGGTTACTTCAAGAAGTATCTCACGAATGTTCAAAGATGTAGCTTGCATTAACCATGTTTATATGATTTATGTTGTTTAACTCTTTTACTTTATATTTTATCTTGGTTATTGCATGTTTATGAAAATGTCCCCTTTTAAGCATGTTTCAAATGTTTTATGCATGGCTCTCATACTTAGTGCATTTTTGTACAAAAGCATACTCTTGCCTACATTGTTTCTCCAATGTAGGGTCCGATGCTCCAGGTTCGAACTTCCGTCGCTAGGGATCGTTAGTAGAGACTTGAAATTGGTGAGTCCTCATACATTCAAGGACCAAGTCTTTATTTCATTATGTCATTTTATTTCAGTTTTGGACTTGATGTACGGGTTACGTACCGAGCACCTCTTATGTACTAGATGGCTTTGAGACAATGTTTAGACTTCCGCTTCGTTTTACAAACTCTTTTATGTTGAAACTGTTGTTTTAATTCTATACTTCTTTTATCTTGTATGAAGAAAGTTAAGTGGCTTGTATGAGGCCTTTCAGGGTCTTATACACCATGTTACGCTTAGGGGCTACCTTGGGTCGTGATAACATCTAATCCCCAAATACTGAGTCTGAGTATATCAAAGAAACCTTAATAGATGAATAAAATAGTTTTTCTCCAAAAAATAAGGAAATTATGCCATGACTGAGAAAATCCAATACGATCTAGAAGGAATAGCTCACTCTGGAATCTTATGTGTTGGAGATTTCCTAGAGTTGGGGGCAAGTCAAAGTTGTTAGTACACTCATTGTATTGCACAAAAGGATAACAAAGAAAAATACAAGTTGGGGTCAGTACAGGGCAACATATACTGAGTAGATATTATCGACCAACTCAAAATAGAAACTAATATGCATAAAGTAATAACATAAAATAAATTATAGCACTTAGCAGGTGGCAAGAAAAAAATGCAACATGAACAAGTGACAACAACAACAAAGCAAGTACATAATTAGTCAACAATATCAAGAATATACATGAGTACTTACGCCTCCACATTACACTCTTTTGGGAAAGAGGTTCTTCAAAATTGTGTATATTAAGTTATTTTGATATGTTTTCCATTGATCTTACCACGCCGGAATGTGACAATCGATCCAATAATTTTGTGTTAGCTCGTTACACCTAATCCAAATATATTGTGTCAGCTCGTGGCCCCTGATCCAACAATATAGTTAATTAATCATCCTTTATCATTTATTTCCACTTCATTAATAATATTTCATCAAGCCTTCTATATTCAAGGCATCACTTTGATAGAGTAAGTTCATGATTATAGATTTTGATGTCTTGGGATTAAAGATCAATCACAGCAACATATAAATCATCTAAACAACAACTATTAAGTAAATAGAAAGCTTCACAATATTACTCAATGACTATCAATCACTATTAAGAGTCTCTCTATCATATAGAATAAACCATAGCCTATATCAACCGAAGAATCAAAGTCAATCAAGCTAATTCACCAATTCTTTTCCTTTCTTCAATGTCTCAGAACATTCCCAATCTAGCAAGTATCCATAATTTATAAGTACACTAGTCCATAAACATCTATGTTGTTATACTTCTAGCCTAGAACCCAAATATCATAGAGCACAAAACTAGAATAGAGTTCCTAAATTAAAACTTATATGTCAAGTCTAATATTTCTTAAATTTCGATCCTAGGCTTAAGTCTCAATTCTTCTAATATCATGAATCTAATGGTATTCATATAATATAATATATATATCATCATCTAGATCTTGTGGAATCATATTGAATATTTGACAATACATTTTGTACCTTGCTAAAAAACCAATCCTTGTTTACCAACCACACATTGTCTAACCAAATGCAATTCTCTCTCGATACGTTCCTCAAAAAATCTGATTCGGGCAGATTCTTCCCCCAACTAACGAAGAGATCTTGGCGGAATTGCCACATATTAAATTAAGCACATTTTTTCAAAGAAATAGCCCACTTGTTTCTAGAGAAGAGATGGGAAACATGCTCAATATCATTTGATTGAATAGTTGACCCAGCCCCTTGTTGTTTGAACAAACCCTCCACTTCAATTGGTATTTTTTCACGTAAAGCAGACATGAGATAAGAAATCCAGTGTTTCACTAAGATTTCGAATAGCTGTCCCAAATTCAAGTTGATTCTATTTCGACTCTTCCTCAGAGAAAGACGATCAAATAATTCCCAATCATGGTCCTTGCGGATCGGATCATCCATATAATATACAAACAGAAACTCCAGATATTTGAGATCTATCTCTTTGAATAAGATCTCAATTCCAGCGACGGTTTCATTAGATATCTTACAATTAGAATCCCTCTTTTTTCGGATCCAGTTCCTCCACCAACGCGAACCCTAGTTAGATTCAGGCATGCTACACTTTTTTGTTATTGGGAGAACCCAAGTACTCTCTTTCGGAATCAGGAAACAACTCTCAGAGATCTTTTTTCCTTTGGGGAGATACAGGAGCGAAACAATCAACCTATTGATATAGGAAGACCCAACGGATTCTTCCAATGTATCATTTCTAGGTCCAATGGAATTCATAGGTATAGGAAGAAGCCCTATCAAATAGAGATTTTTTCTTTCGACCATATTTTGATTGTTAATACGATATATACGGATCGCTACTACAAATAGTATTACACCATTGATCGTGAAATATCAATTACTTGTTGAACCTTGTGAATTGCGTGAAAGTAGGATACTTCAAATTTGGGGGTCAAAGAGTTTTAGAAAATGTTCTTGGTGGAAAAAAATGTGAATGAAGGATCCCACTGAATTTAATTGGGTCCATGAATCTAAGAAATGGTGAGAATTCTTGATCTCTCTCAATATCTCTGTTAATTCAAAAATCCAGGATTTGAATTGATGTCCTCTCATTGATTCCTCCTAAATTGCATTGATTTAACCTACAGATTTCATTTCAATTGGAATTTGGTTATTCACCATGTACGAGGATCCTCGCTAAGCGCCCAACTCATAATTGGCGAATTTGAAGGTTCAATTCCTACTGGATGCACGCCAATGGGACCCTCCAATAAGCCTATTGGAATTGGCTCTGTATCAATGGAATCTCATCATCCATACATAACGAATTGATGTGGCATATTCATATCATAATTTATGAACAGTAAGAACTAGCATTCTTATTGAGACTATAACTCATAGGGAAGGAAATAGATTTATGTATGGAATCAAATATGCAGTATTTACAGACAAAAGTATTCAGTTATTGGGGAAAAATCAATATACTTCTAATGTTGAATCAGGATCAACTAGGACAGAAATAAAGCATTGGGTCGAACTCTTCTTTGGTGTCAAGGTAATAGCTATGAATAGTCATTGACTTCAGGGAAAGGGTAGAAGAATGGGACCTATTATGGGACATACAATGCATTACAGACGTATGATTATTATGCTTAAACCGGGTTATTCTATTCCACCTCTTTAAAAGAAAAGAATTTAAATAAAAATAATAAATAGCATGGCGATACATTTATACAAAACTTCTGCCCCGAGCACACGCAATGGAACCGTAGACAGTCAAGTGAAATCCAATCCACGAAATAATTTGATATATGGACAGCGTCATTGTGGTAAAGGTCGTAATGCCAGAGGAATCATTACAGCAAGGCACAGAGGGGGAGGTCATACGCGTATATACCGTAACATCGATTTTCGACTAAATGAAAAAGACGTGTATGGTAGAATCGTAACCATAGAATACGACCCTAATCGAAATGCATATATTTGTCTCATACATTATGGGGATGGTGAGAAGATATATATTTTACATCCCAGAGGGGCTATAATTGGAGATACCATTGTTTTTGGTACAGAAGTTCCTATAAAAATGGGAAATGCCTTACCTTTGAGTGCGGTTTGAATTATTGATTTACGTAATTCGAAATAACCAATTAGGTTTACGATGAAACCTAGAAATCGGTCACTGATCCAATTTGAGTACCTCTACAGGATAGACCTCAATAGAAAACTGAAGAGTAACAACATCAAGTGATTGAGTTCAGCAGTTCCTCATATAAAATTATTGACTCTAGAGATATAGTAATATGGAGAAGACAAAATTGTTTCAAGCCCCGACAAAACCGGAAGTGCCCCTTCTTTCAAAGAGAGGAGGACGGGTTATTCACATTTCATTTGATGGTCAGAGGCAAATTGAAAGTTAAGCAGTGGGAATTCTAAATATTCCCCGGGGGAAAAATAGAGATGTCTCCTACATTACCCATAATATGTGGAAGTATCGACGTAATTTCATACAGTGATTCGGTCTGAATGCTACATAAAGAACATAAGCCAGATGACGGAACGAGAAGACCTAGGATGTAAAAGATCATAACATGAGTAATTCAGCAAATTAGGATACATAAATATATCCACCCATGTGGTACTTCATTCTATGATATATTTAAGATCCATATGTATAGATATCATCATCTACATCCAGAAAGCCGTATGCTTTGGAAGAGAGAGAGAGAAGAGAAGTTGTATGCGATATTCAAGAGATATTCCCAACTAAAATGCTAAAACATAAAATAAAATAAAAAAAAGTACAAATTTAGTAGGAATTTGACACCCCACCTAACAATGAGTCTTTCTTAATTATTGGGTCATCATTATTCCTTAAGTTAATCCATTATTTCTTATCCCCCTAATATACAGAACCAACAAACCTTGCAACATGTGTCAACATTATCAATTTCTAACTTCTTATCCAACTCCAATAATATAATGAAAATTTTAATTGGATCTCCACCTATTCACTATATATTAGTTATAACAATATTAAAAGCTAACTTTTAATTATTTTCTTACCTGACCATGAAGTACGAGGTGTCCATCTTCCGCTCGTCTAAGGATATTAGTTCCCCTAGGTTTATGTTATAATTAAAATAATAATAACCTTCTTTAACTTATTCCAACAAATGAGTAAGGTGGTATAAGATATAAATAAATTATGGATTTGACCCATTAACCACCAAGTAAATTAATTATCTAAAATTTACTAATTTAATAAATATGCACCAACTAGACAACTGTAGTTAAATTAATAGTGAAAAATTACCATTTAAATTGTTACAGAGAGAGTCAAAAATAGTTGTAGTGCTCAAAATGACCTAACAGGTCATTACATCAGATTCCAATTTACCAACCATTCATCCCTTAACGATCAAAATAAATGCGGGGGAGAGTACTTGAATCGACGAAAAGTATGGATACATTTTGGGCATATCAACCTCAGTCTCCCAAGTTGACTCTGCAACCGACCAATCTTTTCACTGGACCTTCATAGATGCAATCTTCTGTTACTTCGACTTTCTCAAGATCACAAAGGTCTTAACAAGGCTTGTAACGGGGCTGAGTGTACATGTATGGTCAATTAGGTTTAGTGACTTTTATCCTCATGAAATGTGGTGCACTCAATACTTCATTTCTTTTTCCTTCATCATCTTCATTAGTGCTTACCTGTCATCCTATTATTCACTTTCCCTGAATTGTTTGGGAACCTCGTCTCTTTTGTACTTTATTCCATAACTTTCTTTTTCATTCTTTTTTCTCTCTTTTTTTTATATGGAGGGGTTCCATTTTTTAAAAAATCATGGGTAAGAGGAGACATTCCTTGCACTTCTTGACTTGCCCTTATCTTTTCACCACACCCCCAACTTACGCTTTTGGCCTAAAGTAGATATTCAACTAACCACAATTCAAGAGGATTATAGGTAATGGATTAAGAAAGGTCTAATTTTCATCAAGTTTCTTACAAAGAAGGGTAAGGCTCAAATGGTGTTCCAGAGAGAATCACACACTCACAAGGTAGGTCACAAAAGAGATATATGTCAAATTGGTTCACACTCTTCGAAGTTTCCTAAGATCATATCAAGAGAAAGTCTTACTCAGTCAACCGGACCAATAGGACAAATTGTAGGTGTTGTCATGCATGGTTCCAAGTAAGCTTATCACACAAGGCATCGACACTTAAGTCAAACAAGTCTCCACACTTTTGCTAGTGTGCAACGGTCATCACAAGAGAATCGATTTGATAAATGGCTAATCACCACGAGATGCAAAGGGTTCACATATTGTCTATGCAACTTCATTTGGCCTCATCGTAGCTGTGCATTCATGTTTGTTTGATTGTAAGCACTATTCAAGTCATAGGTATTGATCAGGATCGAGACTTAAATTTTGCAAAAGAACAACCACATTCATCACAAAAGAGAAGGCAAAATATTCGAACGGGTTAAAATCATTTTGCAGTATAAAATAAAATGAGCCGCATGTTCAAACATCCACAAAAATAGATAAAACACAATTTTTAAAGCAGAACAACACAAATATATACACAAAACACGAACAAGAGTAGCACACAAAAGGTGTGGGCCTCACCCCACCACAAACAAAAACTTTGTCCTGAAATGCAAATAAAAGTATCTAGAATGTAAATTAAAGGAAGACAAAGAGGGAGGTAAAGAAGGATGTTGTCTACAGAGTCGCTCCAAGTATATGGACATCAGTGACTAATGTGTCAGCCTTGAATTTTATAATGGCCCCCGGAGCTTCTTCAGAAGATTCAGCGGCAGCTGACTTAGTAGGATTGTCCAAGTCATGAGCCGCCAAAGAGGAGTGAATAGTTGTGAAGAATCCACGTCTCCATGAGCAAATAGTTGGGTCTCGAGGATTTGTTCACTTGCTGGAAGTGGGCTTCTTGCCCTCATTATCCATTTTGGTAGGATTTGTTTCCTACGTATTTTTCCTGAAAATTTTCGCTCTTGTATGTCGGGGTGGCATATCTCTTCCAGCTACTTTCGATCTAGCCATTTCTGCAAAGCTTCGAGAAAAAGTTAGAAATTATTTAGACAAAAGCCAAGCAGTTCAATTGCAAAATCACTTCACTGAACAAGTTGGCGAAGCGCTTAACTACTTCAGCGGTTCGCCGAGTGCAGTGCATAGAGAATACAAGGGTGCATACAAAGGGTGAAATAGAAGTCTTTTGGCAAGTCATCGAATGTTTTTGGTGAGTCGGTGAATGCTTTTGGCGATCTAAGGCTTCTCACCGAAAGTTATAGAATTAAACATCATATTTGGCATTAAATTAAAGACGAGATGAAGATTTAAGGCGAACAGCCGAACGATTCGGCGAGCTCGACCCTGCTCACCAAATGGCCCAACGTGTCCATTTTCAATCCACCTTCTCAAGTTCAATCCCACAAACCCCGAAAGCAAAATCAAAGTATGCACTAATGAAATTCAAACAAGACCCATATTGCCCATCATCCCGGGATACTCAGATTTCTCCCGGATTTTCCGCATTTGGCCATTTGATGATATTTGCTCTTAAGAGCAGTGTTGCCCCTCTATCATTGAGTAAATTTTCAACATTTGGCACAAAAGTGGGCTACTCAAACTTCACCCAATCAATCTAAAAAGACGCAATCATGACCCAACTCATTAAAAGGCAAAAAGATTACGGGCATTTGATAGTCAAACCATACGGGGAAGATTTTTCAAATTAAAATAGGCAATTAAGGATTCTAATTCTAGAAGGAATGCCTTACATACATCAATACGATACGATTATCACAAAAGAGTACAAAGTTTTCGAATGTAAATTTGGGATTCGGGAACTAACCTTATATGCTGATTAAAACACGATTGAAAAGCTAGGTGGCAAAGAAATCCAACTCCGAACACCAATCAACAACTACAATACTACTGGAATAGAAAAAACATTGAAGATAATATCTTGGTGTGGGTTTGTGAAGTTTAAAAATGAGGGAAAGTGAAGGATTTCAAATTCTAAGTCTGTTGGCCATTATAAACAATGCAGTTCACGCTCATTCGGTGGCATTAGTCGCACTCGCCAATCTAACTGGGGATTCCCCAAATGGTCTCGTATCTCGCCTAGTTTAACAGGGATTCCATTTTACATGGAGGTCCAAACGACGGACACTAGCAGGATCGCCAACTGGATCCTTATTTCGCCAACCTGCATCTATCAACACTTTCCAAATTCAAACCTACAACATCAACACACCATTATTTCTTAAACAAGATTACAACATTTAGAGGTTTTGGGTTGCAATAACGCCTTAGTTAACGTCATGGCACGACGCAGGTTACCACCTAAATTTAACTTTTGGGGTTAACCAAAACATCATTTGGCAACCCCCTACTATGTGTCAGATTGAGATGAGGCATCACATGACCCATAAGGTTCTCGAGCAGCTAAATGGATCTGGAATGAGAACCAATCATTTGTTTCATCAATTTGATGTTCTCCTTCACTTCTTCCAGTACCCTATCATGCTCACTTACCTTGTCAAGAATGATTGAGAGCATTCCCTCAACACGTTTACCCTCATTGTCCTTGGGCTTTCTTCGCTCATTAGGAGGAACGTATTTGTCCTTCCTTTTGCATTGAACTTCAATCTCCACTATCTTTTTGGCCAACTCATCCATTTGAGTCATCAGTGCCGCCAGCATGAAGTCCTTCTCTAGTTCTTGGTTTGCTTCAGCCATGTGATTAAGCAGGTGGGCTGCTATCACATAGGGATGATGTGTAATACCACCTAGAATGAGTCGGTCAGCCAATGCTTTGTTTTCGGGACCAAGACTTCTTTAGAAGTAGTCCAGGAGGACTATATCGGGAATTTTGATGAGTGGGGGCATCGAATCTGAAGAGATTTAAACCTTGCCCATGCCTCATGAATTCGTTCACTTTCCAATTATTTAAAAGTTAGAATACGATCCCTGAACATCATTATTCTAATGAAGGGAACTCCATTTGCTCACGAGTACTGCTTAACATACTCATATGTCTGTTGAAACACATAGAAATTCAAAAGAAAACTGAAAATTAAGTTAGTA